ATATGTTATATGCTGATGATCTTTTAATTTTTTTGTTGTGGGAATGTTCGAACTCTTCGTTCTCTTCGAAATTTCTTGGATAAGTATAGTTGTGCATCAGGGCAACTTGTTAATGCAATTAAGAGTACTTTTTATCATGGCTCATCCTCTGTTCATCATAGAGTGCATGTCTCAAGACACCTTGGCTTTCGTTTAGGTGTTGTTCCTTTCACTTATCTTGTGGTACCCATTTTTCGTGGTAAGCCAAAGAGAATTCACTTTCAAGCTTTGGTTGACAAAGGCTCAAGCCCTCCTCTCAGGTTGGAAAGGAAACTTCTCTTAATGGCTGGACAATTTCAATTAGTGCAGTTTGTTTATCAAAGCTTGTTCCTCCATAATTTCTCAGTTTATCAATTGCCATCTTGCCTTTTAAAACATCTTTTTGCTTGCGCAAGGAATTTTATTTGTCAGGGGATTTAGCTTTCTGGAAGTTGGAAACTGTTGATTGGAGTACGGTGTGTGGACCTAAAAATGAAGGTGGGCTTGGTATTCGTGATTTAGCTTCTTTAAACTTGACAGCTTTGCTTAGTTTTGGATAAGATGCTTTACAATCCTCTTCTCTGTGGGGTTCTTTTGCTCGTCAGCGTCTTCTTCTTTTGCCTTCCAAAAAAACAAAATATTTATTTATGGTCTTCTGTGTGGCATGGTCTGAAGCGTGCTTTGCCCATTCTGAATAATAATAGTCGTTGGATTATTGGTGATGGGAGGTCCGTTTCCTTTTGGTTTGACAAATGATTGGATGAACCTATTATTAGCCTTTGTTTATCTTTGGTCATTTCACCTAAGGTTCTTTCTCGGGTTTCAGATGTTATTGAAGCATAAAGGTGGTCTTTCCCAGATTATTTTATAAATTTATTCCCTTCTGTGGTGCAACAAATTTTATGTCTACCTTTACCCTTAAATGTTGAGGATGATAAATTGATTTGGGAGCCCTTACCTACTAGGAAGTTTTCCTTTTCTTTTGGTTATCAGCTTATTGGAAGGAAATGTAGTGATTGTACTTGGGCTAAGGTTATTTGGCGACATTTTATTCAGCCACGGCTATCTATTTTGGCTTGCCTGCTTTTTCATGATAAACTTCTTACTGAGGGTGTGCTTCAACGATGTGGTATGTCTTTGGCATCCATTTGTTGTTTATGTCGTAATTCTGAAGAATCTACTACTCTTCTTTTCTTCGGGTGTCGGATATCTAGGCAGCTTTGGAGGTGGTTAGCATGCCATTTTGGTACCTCTTTGCCTTTTTTAGATTCTTTGGATGTTTTTTGGGATATCTATGCACGCAAGCCCTTTTTCCAATAGTTACACAATCTCTAGATTTTTTCCGGTCTTTCTACTATTGCGGCTATTTGGAAGGCTCAAAATAAGTTTATTTTTGAAAGTCGACCAGTATGTTTTCATCGTCTCTGCATGTCTATCAATTTTGCGATTGTTCATGGTGGAAGGTTTATTCCTGGTTACTCTCAGAGTTTGACACTTGAATCATCTCTTCGATGGGGATCCAACCTATCTCTCGCAAGGCACCTACTATTCTTCTTGTCCTTTGGTCTCCTCCTTGGTTTCCTTGTATTAAACTTAATATAGATGGTTTATCTAAAGAAAATCCCAGTTCTGCTGCTTGTGGATGAGTTTTCAAAAATTGCCATAGTCATTTTCTTGGTGGTTTCTGCCAATGGATTGGTTATCGCAACTCTTTTTTTGCAGAATTATCTGCAATTATTATTGGTGTAGAGCTTGCATATCAACTGGGTTGGTATTGTCTTTGGTTGGAAAGTGACAGCTCTAGTGTTATTTATGCTTTTCAATCATCTGATTTTGATCCTCCATAACCTCTTCATACGCAATGGTCTATTTGTTTGAATCGCATTCGGAAAATGACTTTCTACTCATCTCACATATATCGAGAAGGAAATTTTGTTGCGAACAATTTTGCTAACATGGGCTTGTCTTCTCCGATTTTAACTTGGCATGATTTTCCTCTGCCAGTGGCTCGTGCTACATTGTTTTCGGACTATGTTGGCTTGCCTGGCTACCGCTTCTCAAATTAATGTGCATCTTGGCATCCAGGTTTGTCTCACTTTTTTTTCTTTTTCCCTAGCTTTGTGGTGTTGCTCAACTTGTTTTGTAGGTTTAGACCTTTAGGTTTGGTTTTAAAAGTGCTAGGTTTCATGTCCCCCCCCCTCTTTTCTTTGCATCTCTCTTGTTTTCATTTCTAGAAGGGTACAGTTTATGTCCCCCCTTCTTTTTCGTGTATTGTTTTTGTTATCCTTGTTTTATGAGGGGTAAGGTTTATATCCCCCCTGAGTCGGTGTAACTTCTTTTTTCGCTATCAATAAAATTTCCCTCGTAATGTTGAGGTTTCCACAAAAAAAAAAAAAAAAAAAAGAAAAAAAGAAAGAAAAAGAATAATTTGGTTGGGCACTTGATTATTTTATTCTTTTAGTTTTTGGTAGAATTCTTTTTACGTGATAATAAAAAAAATTGAAATTTCCCACTTTTTTTTGTTTTTATTTTAGGTTTAGCATCAAATCCATGAAAAAAAATGGAGAGAAAAGTGAAGACTGAGAAAGGAAAAGAAAGGTAGTAAGTCAAATTATAAGTAACAGGGTTATTTTGGTCATTTTACCGTGAAAAATTGGTTGTGTGACCCTTTTTAAAGTTAATTTGGATGGAACACTGATGGAAGGACGACATTGATTCGTTGGGTTAATATTCAGGAACTACCTTGATTGATGAGGTTAATTTCAAAGACCATTTGTGATAAAAACCTTGAAAAAAAAAAATTCAAATAACTTGTTCGGAATCATCTACCAGAAAAAGCAGAGTAAGATGAGTCATGAGATTCATTACTAATGTTGCTTGTTCCAAAAGATTTCACGCTAGCAACCATGTCTCCGTCCTGTTCCTTTCTACATTGTTCACTATCCTTATACCATGTGCAATCTACTAGCATTGAACCAAACTTTTTAGGGATGAAGTTCAGTTTTTAGTGCTGGTGAATCACACGATGGTGGTCACAGGAAGACTAAAATGCCCATGTGAGTCTTCTTGGCTCCCAGAAGGGTGGATTGCCGTGGGAAGCCACCAGCTAATACTTTTTTTTTTTTTTTAGAAATATAGAAAAAACCAAAACTTTTTAGGGAGATTCTTGCCATTCTCTATGTACTGAAATTCAAAAGACAAAATTCTAGCATATATTGTGGAGAATTTGTGATGAAAACCCAATTTTAGTATTATATTTAAAATCCAACATTTGGATCATACGACGGTGTATTTGGTGTTTTTTGGGGGTAATTTGACACCTCTAACATTTTTCAGAGGAATATAATTACATCAAGAGTTATGTAGTATGCATATATCGAGCTAGGTTGTACAAGTATAACAAAAGCGTGCTTGGATGAATTAGTTTTGTTGACATAACTAGATCTCGAGTGAGGTTATACATGATTATGAGATTGGTTTGTTGAAGTTATCGATGTTCATTAAGAGTGAGGATTCTGCCGAATTCTCTTTGTGAGGATTCCGGGAATCCTCAAATCACATTCGTTTATCGTATATCGTACGATTATAAATCATTGTAAATTTTTTTATTTAAAATTGAATATAAACAGTACTTGACAAAAACTAGCCGCACGATGTACAATGAACAAATGTGATTAAAGGATCCCTGGGATCCTGTCTCATTCATTAAGTTTACTGTTAAAATTTAAAAATGTTCTAAGTAATACGGGTTTTTCTTAAATTAAAAAAAAAAAAATTAGTGTATGCCAATTTGAAAATTTTGACTTTTGCTTAAATTGCAATTTAACCCAACATTTGGTGAACAATTGGCCACCGCCGCCATCGTGTCATATGACCACCATCCCCAACCCAAAATGAGGATTCTCTCTGGATCCACTTTGTAAGGATCTTTGAGATTTTTTAATCGTGTTCGTTCATCGTAAATCGTGTAGTCAGTTTTTGTCAGGTACTGTTTGTGTTCAATTTTAAATAAAAAAAATTTTAAATGATTTTTGACTGCATAATGTACGATGAACGTATACGATTAAAGGATCTTTGGGATCCTCACAAAGAAGATCCTGATTCCCCAACCCAAGGATCCTCACAAAGAGGATCTTGATTCCCCAACCCATCACTTTATCACCAGCAACTCCAACACCACCACCCTTAATTAAGGGCCTTAACACATTTACTATGGTGGTGCTATTAATACACTTAATTAAGGACCTTAAATTTTGTCATTTGATATTCTTTAATTCATTTGATATGACGATCAGAAATTAAGAAAGGTGTGTGAGAAATAAAAAATAGGTGTTTGAAGAACTTGTTACCCAGAATAGTTCGCAAACTTTAACTAGAATATTACATCAAATCATTTTTTAATTCTCTTTTAGAAAAATAATTTTGGAATTTTAGAAACCTTACATCGAAGAAATAAGGAACTTTGCATGTGTTAATAAGTAATTGAACTACTTCTCATATTGCCAATAAGTTTTATGGTGAAACCTTAATTTTCTTCATAGTATGAGAGCATGTTATCTTATGTGTGAAGCACGATGGCTACACGTGCTCCATATCATCCAATATGTGTTGTTTATGTGTTAGGCTTGAAAACTTGTTACATGTGAAGGGATGTGTTGAGCATATGAATCTCACATCAAGGAAAAAATTGACGTTACATGTGACTACTCTCCATATTATCAATTGATTTTATACTGGAAGCTCAGCTTCTTCAACTAATACTACACTTGGAATATTAAACTTCCTAAACCGGGTAACTGAAATGATATTAGCTACGTCCCTCCTCGTCTGCACGTACCTGATTTAGTTCTTTCTTCATCATAGTATAATTGATATGGTCGGCAGATCAAACCATCAACCATACATCCATGCATCACAGTGCATTTAATTTATTTATCGATAATTAATATACCAAATCAAATAATGCATCAGAGTGCATTATATTACACACATTAAGTTTTTATTCATCAAACCATGCATCATATATAGTGCAGTTTTTTACATAAAGTCACTTTGCAAACCCAGAAAAATAAAGCAAACAAACAGAGCCAATCCAAAGTCCTCTCGCAGGAGCGTCCGATCAGACAATGACCCTCTGAGAGTTGATGGCCAATACCAACCAAGCACACACTACTGTACAGTGAAAAGCCAATGGGCCAGGGCGCGAAGACTTTCCGTCACATCTTACATATATCTCCCACCCTACCCTTTATTCCTTATACAACTTTGTCTGAAGCTTTCACATCACATCATATCATACAAATCATGAAAAGGACTAAGCATACTAGGGTAATATTCTTCTGTCATTCCCTTCGCATGTTACATTATCATACTGTTATTTTATATTATAAATATGAACAGTTGAGTAACGTAACATGAAAAATTATTTGACAAGAGATTATTGTTCTAAATATGCTTGCCTTTGTTTTGCACTAGCGACGGAAGCTCCTGGCCATGCGCACAGGTGCATCCACCTCATCTTCTCGAAGCTTCACAGCTGTATAGGTACCTGCCCCGGCGAGAGCTCCTAGGGTAGGAGCCACGAGGTATATCCACAACTTGGTGTAGTTTCCGGCAGCGACAGCAGGGCCGAGAGTACGCACCGGGTTCATTGAACCACCACTAGATGGCCTGCCAACGCCAAAACACAACCATAATTTTCAGTACTACATTCCGCTTGGAATCTTTTATCTTTTGAAACTTTTTGAGTGTAGGAGCTAAATGCGAAGATGATAACAAAAACAACACACACTACCCTTTTTTTTTCCTTTTAAATATGAGATGTTATGCCAAAATGAGGATGATGAATGAGTCATGCAACTCTTGATTTCTATGGGAACTACCAACTTGCCCACCCTCCAACCCAAAGATATGCTGAATGAAGGGAGTCGCGTTTCAAGGTTAAGGAATCTTGCACGTTTTTTACAATAAAACCCTTCAATTTTCATCAATCGTCAAGGGAAATGGTATTGGAACTTTGGCATGATTTATTGTCTTCAAGGGTTACATTGACGATGTTTTCACTAAGGTTTTCCATAATCCATAAACTATAGATCTAAATTTAACCGTTGATTGTCGTTTATATTTTGTTCTCACCAAAAAAATTTTTTTTTCTTCAGATTTTCTTTTTTAAAAACATGATCTCTTAGAGGATGCAGGAAGATGAACGATTCATATCGTTGATATTACGTTCAGAGTTTTACCATTAGTGAAAATATAGCTCGAAGTTTATAAACTCTCTAGAAACTATATAACATCAACTCATATGTTAACTATAAATATCGGAATGTCATATCAACGATCTGAACCATTCAGTTTTCTATATCCGCTAAATATCTCTTTTCAAAAAAGAAAATCTAAAAAATGAAATTCGGTGAGTAGAATAAAGTGTACACGTTAATGGACGGTTAAATTTAAATCTAAGGTTTATGGATTATGGTGTCAAATTTTGGAGTTGACTCTTTCATGAAAGTTGTAAAGCTTGTCATTACAAGTGATTGTATATATATATATATATATATATATATATATATATATATATATATATATATTTTTTTTTTTTTTTTTTTTTTTTTTTTTTACATTTGTCACACTTCTACAATAATTATTATTAATTTTGTCAATTTTGCACTCAAATAAAAAAACAATATTCATGAGATTTGGAGGGTTTTAAAAATCTAAACGATCATGTAACCATCGCCTAAGCATAGAGGATGCAATCACGAGTATTTATATATGTTTTCACATTTTTCAGATTTATACATTAATGATTATGAATTTTATTTATTTTGAACTCCTATAAAATACTATTCATGAGGGTTTGTATGGTTTTAAAAATTCAAACTACGATGTACCCATCCTCAAAGCGTAGAGAATGCGATTATGAGCATTTGCATATTTTTTTCACATTTTTTGCACTTTAAATGAATTATTATAAATTTTTAATGTATTCGGTATTTTTAAATTACTTGATATTTTTATTTTTAATGTGTTTTATAATGTTTTAATCTCACTTTTTGCCTATAATACACTGTAAAAATAAATAAATAAAACTTAAATTTTTAAAATTTATATAGAATAATAATACAATAATAATTAATAAACAATAAATACATATCCACTATATCTATTGTATTTTATAGTAAGTTTTCTTAGACCTATTCCAACCCTTAAAGTAAAACTCAAATTTTAGGTTCTAAACTTACCCCAATTTGCTCTAAAGCTTGAGGCAAATATGAGTTAAAACTCAAAACTCATTTATGGGCCAAATTTAGCTTAGGATTCATCCCTATGTTAGTGGAGTTGGCCCACTATATATGTCAATTTTTTTTAGTTTTATATTTATAAAGTCATTAAATCCAACGTTTAAGATTTAATTTGATGAAATCCAACAGTTAAAAAAATATCTAACGGTCCAAATTTAAAACCAACGGCTAAAGTAATTAAAACAATTTTCTTTTATGTGTTTCATATTTTTTTCATAGTGTTTCATGAGTTTCATGGTGTCAGTTAATGATTTTTCAATATTTGTTGAAATTTAAATATTTTAAGGTTAAAATATTTATAAAATTAAATTAGGATGGTTTACATAATTTTTCTTTTAAAAAATTTACTTTAAAAAAAATTAGCCTAAATTTATTCTTTAATAATCAGAGATTAAAATTTCAAAATAACCTTTTTCTTATCGTATCGAAACAGATTATATGCATGTCACTTTCGTGTAATTATGTTAAGGACCGGTTATTAACGGGTTTTTACCATGTTAACATGAAACCCATTATTTTCGTGTGTTTCGTGTAAGAAATTGTCAGGTCTAGCGAGACCCTCCAAAATTCGAAAATTGGGCGGTCTACAAAGGCCAATTAGCTCCGCTTTGTCTCCCCCCGCTTCGCCCTTCCCATCTACTTCTTCTTCACTTGCTTCCCGACAAACCCACAACCTAAATTTCGCCTCTTTGCTTCACAAAGGAACACCTGATCGATATGGGAAATGGGTTCTCCATTTTCGTAGATTGAACTGGAATCAGACCCAAAAAACAGAGATATTAAGAACTTAGGATTCCAAAACGAACTCTGATTTCAGCTCTCTCCGCTACTCGCAACTCTAGCACCCGCACCATGCCGTTTTCATTGAGGCAAAACAAAATAAATACAATGTTTCAAACATTGAAAAATAAGGAGGCCAGAGTGATTTGATGATTTGAGGTGGATTGGAAGAAACAAAGGAGATGGGAGAATACAGAGGTACAAAGAAAGGAGGTAAACAGTGGGCGGAGAAAATGAAAGGTTTAGACAAAGAGAAGATGTCGAACAAAGAAAAAAAAGTAGAAAGAAGATGATTCTAGAAAGAATAAAAAAGGTAAAATATTATAAAATATTAGTATTTGATTAAATTTGTAATAAAATTTTAAGAGGTATAAATCATATAATATAATATTAGCCCTGCATCTTAGTCTGGCACTACATCAAACACTTAATTAAATCAGTCCAATTTAGTCCCAAAAGTTAATCCACTTCACTAAGTCAGTCTAGTTTAGTCCCAAAAGCTAGTTTAGTATGAGATAGTCCGGTGCAACAAACACACAGCAGCAGGAGAGTGCGCTAAGCCTCACAATAACCTAGTAATAATGTGATTCCAATTGGTCTTTGGCAAGAATTGAACACAAAACCTCTCACTTACAAATAAAATTAAATGCTACTAGACTATAGTACTAAGTGACTCTTTTTTTCTTTTCTTTTTTTAAATGAGAACATAAAACTAAAACTTAAATGGTTATCAAACGTCATAAATATAACTAAATCACAAAGCACTCCAATAGTAGATAAATAGGATTAAGAAGGATAAACAGACAGGGAGAGAGAGATAGGATTAAGAAGGATAAACAGAGAGGGAGAGAGAGATAGGATTAAGAAGGATAAACACAGAGAGAGAGAGAGAGAGAGAGAGAGACATTAAGTACTAACCCTGCCATAAGAATGTTTAGCATGACACAAGCCCCAACTGCTAAACCAGCCAACTCTCCCAACTGCATGTCACCAAATCCCAAGCGCATTAGAAAGACAGATTATATTTGAAATTAGTCAATAAGAATATGTGATATGAACAATCAAATTGTATTAATATATATGAGGTTGATATATTTACATACCGCTCGAGTGTCAGTTGCAACAGCAGTGACAACAAACAAGAGATTAAAAGTGATGATGAACTCAAGTCCAAAAGCCTGGCCAGTGCTCACAGTAGGCAACGTGACTCCGCCGGACATGTACGGATGGAAAACCCCTTTGAGAGTAAACGAGGCGCAAATGGAGCCCGAAACCTGAGCTGCGATGTAGGCAGGGACATGAACCCATGGGAAGTGTCGCAGGGCGGCAAACGCAATGGTGAGAGATGGGTTTAGATGTGCACCAGAGATGTGGCCTGTGGAGAGAATCACAATCATCACACCAAGCCCTGCGCATGCTGCGTTTCCGATCAAGGACTCCGCTCCGTTGTACTTTTGGTTCACGATTGGTCCAGCACTCGCTGCAAACATCAAGATGAAGGTTCCTACGAACTCAGCTCCTACCTACATGTGATACATATTGTTAAACAAAACCAGTTATTATCCCACATCAGGAATGTTTTGTTTTGTGTTACGGTATATAACTAACGTTGCGAACTTCTCCACTCATGGTTAATTGGGTTTAGGCTGATTTCCCTAATTTTATCAGTTGGACGAGTTTTTAAATTCGTATTCGTATTCTAATATGTATAATGTAAAGGGTTTAATCAAAGTGCCTCTCTTATTAAAGGGTTTCAAACCCTGGACCTCTTGTGTTAGAGAATAAAGTCCTACTTCAGAAATTTCTCAACAAATTACAACTCATATTGAATAGTTTTATTTTTAATAAGATTGAGGTCTTTGATTATAAAACCCAACACATACTGAGTTGTACAGATAGTTAAGTTGAAACAATATCAATATATATGATTAGTTATGGACCGTTGCTCGACCTGAAATCTCAACAACTTATTCATCACCAGATCCACTTAGCCGCTGAGCTAACCCCAGTAGCTTTAGTGCATACATATTTTATGTGTAACAAACAAAGCTTTTGACCAATGAGCATGTTCGAGCGAGAGGGGAGGGTTACTTTTTAACTTACTGTGGTAATGCCCACCATCAAAAAGGCCTTTTTCAAATGTTGGAACCTTAGAAAAGTGCCTCAAAGCACGGTGAATGGATCCTGGCTAATAGATATACAACAAAACATAAAGCAAATGAAAGTGTTTGAGTAGCATTATCGATCGTGTTGAAAAGCATCGACATTAATTCTTAAGTCATGGTTCTATTAGCATCATATGCATACTTTCGGGAAATAAAATTAGTTGATATTGTGATGATGACAACTGAGAACGACATATGTTATATATATGCAGTTTTTGTTTTTGTTCTTTTGCTATTATCTAAAAATTTTGTTGTTATATATATGCAGTTTATGTTTTTCTTCTTTTGCGATTATTTAAATTGTTTTTGGTGGATAAATTAATTGCTTCAAAAATACAACCTTTCGGAAGAACCGTCCTGGAATTTTTTTATTTTTTTTTAAAGTGATTCAAATAAGGCAGTTGGGGGCTGATAGACTTGGGTTGTCATACTATATTTGCTATACTTTTATGATATAATACAAGGACTTGGATTGTCTGCCTTCCCTATCCTATACCCTTCTCATCCCCTTCTGTATTCTATGATCACGGTTAAGTCACGTTAATATTTTATATTGATTTTTTTTATAAAAATAATAAGATAAAAAACAATAAGAATATAAAATATTGACATAATTTAACCGTGATCATAAAAATAGAAGAGAATTGGAAGGGTATAGAATGGTGAGGACAGACAATCCAGGTCTATAATACAAACACTTGCATGACGTTATATGTGCGAGTATATTCCCAATTATATATATATATATATATATATATATATATATATATATATATATATATAGCATAAGGACGGTTTGCTAAAGTACATAGAGTAGGTGAAAGAACTTCATTTTTAATACATGTACTCAATACCGATAGCGGTCAAATGCTAACCAGTCGTTTTTGGCTTTTACAATAGACTACAGACAAAACAACCAGTCATTTTTTCCTTTTATAATATACTGCGGATAAAACGTTTACGACCAAGCATGTGTGTATTATTAATTTATAAGAAAATAATAAATTTCAGCTACCCAACAAAATAAATACGTCATTGTTGAGGCACCAGCAATAATGCAGAAAAACAATATTCAAGATATTTTCTTTCGGTATGAAATTAATTTTGTCAAGTTTTAAACAGAGGAGATAAGAGTATCTCCTAATTTTTCTCTCTTTTTCTCCCATTCTATTTGAACGGTTACGATTTAACCATATCAACATCTTATATAAAGATAATAAGACAAAAAATAATATGTGAGAGAAGAGAAGGGAAGATGATGAAAATAAGAGAGAAGAGAATCCTACTCCGTTTTAAACACCAATAGAGGTGACATAAGTAAATAAGATAAGTCATATAATTTGTTGTTAGAATTAAGAATATAATTTAATTTTGAGAAATTGTTATTGGCACTCAAAAAATTACATTTTACATTCCAAATTTTCTATATATGGAAAGAAAAATACACTCATGAGAAGTGTAGAATAAGATTTTTGGAGTACCATTAACACTTTACTAATTTTGATACTATTATTGATTCAAGTATAACTTAGCAACCAAGCAAAGGTGGACAGAAACTTAATTAAACGAATTATCCCATTCAACTGTTGGTTTAATTTTTAATTATGTAAAATGCAGCAGTTAAATGCGTGAGACTCTCTCTAACAAATTCCTTTTATTTATACGGATGTGGCCCCTGGTGTCTATTTGACAAGGTCACATTTTTGAATATACAAATATCAAGAATGATTTCACTCTTAATCTTATTAAAATTCGAGCCTATAACTCATTATCTCAATACAAAAAAAAAAAAAGAATTGTTATTGGAATTCCAAATTTCTCATTCTACATTCTAAATTGTTTATATTTAGAAAGAAAAATACACTTGTGAGGAGTGTATAATGAGATTTTAAAAATGCTAATAACTCTTCCCTTAAAAAAAAAATGTATTTTCGATGTTTGCTGAATACCAATTCCATGATTTACAGAGATCAAATTTACATCACTCATTTAGTCCGTGCTTTTTTGTGCGGTATTTATCATTGATTGACAAGTATTAAGTTTATTGCAAAAAAATTAAGAAGGTTAGTTTATTAATATGTATCAATCAATGATAGATGTTACGAGATACAAAATGAGTGCAGAAAATTTGAAATCTGATTTCTATGTGAAACAAAGAAAGTAGAAGAAGGAAATTGAAGCGAGAGCAAATATTGGTAGGCCAAAAATTATACCTAAAGTATTTTATAACTATAAAATGTTGCATTATTAAACGGTTATTTATACATTTGAATAAGAACCTGTTTAAAGATGATTTGTGGTCTTAGCTGGTCTATGCATTTGAAATCGAATCTCTCCTTTATTGGCTATCCTAGTCACTCTAAGCTAAAGCTAAAATCTAAAAGCTGAACTAGCATTACCAATGTTGGTATGCACATAATGACTAAGCATAAACAGATCATTAAGCAATAAAAATCATCTCCCGATAATACCTCCAATTCGACATGATTGAGATTGAGTTTAATCTAGTTCTCTAAATGAGACTTGTAAGTCATCATATGTACGACTATTATCCAATTTAATAAGTACAACCCCGGCATTAATAAGTTTATCGAACAAAAAACAGTACATAGAAGCCCATTTCAATTGCTCTTGTTCGGTCCTAGACACCAAACGAGGCTAAACATCGACTAACCACACAATCATATGACAGCGTCAAATATGTGCATAGGAATTTAGTGTGGGTTTGCTTATGCAATGCATTACCTTGCGGCTGAGGGAGACAGTTGGAGTAGGGAACTCGTTGAAGCAGGTGGGAGATTGACCCCACGTCTGAGCTATCACAGGCAAGCACTTGGTTCGCGGCATTGACTTACGCTCATACGACAGCGAATCCACTCTCGGCTCTGAAAACAGAGGCAGCGGCGTTCCCGGCGTCGCCGGCGCCGACGCCGATGGCGTCACCGGCTCAGATTCCGCCATTTCAAGCAACCAAAACTAAGGTAAAGAGAGAGGATAAAATACAATAGTTTTTTTTTTTTTTTTTGGATGGTTTTGAGAATTGGGTTCTGGGAATGAGAAGCTCGGAGTTACATAATTTGAAGATTTTTATAACTTTTTTTCTACACGAGAATTTTGATAGTGGCCAGAGTGGGGGACGACAATTTGGCTATGGATAGTACATACTGAAAATTACCTAATTTTTTTTTTTTTCTTTTTTGGGTTTTTTGGGTTGGGAATTTGGTTTCGGAAGGATACAAAGTTACATAATTTGAAGTTTTTTTATAATTTTTTTGCTAAGGGATAGAAGAAACGATGAAATCCAGTGTACCCACTAAAAGGAAAGCTCTAGTTTTTCATACAAAAAGCAGTCAAATTTAAATTTTTTTGGGTTTTTTGAGAAATGGGTTTTGTGGAATTGGATTGAAAAGTCTGGATTACATGCTGTGAATGATTTTTTTGAGTTTTTTTTTAAGGAAGAATGATGAAAACCGAAGAATCCAGGTTCAAAACCAGAGCAACAAAACAGCAGAAAAGTCCAGACGATTTGAAAAGGACTGAAACTGAAATTGTAACCGAAGTGTTTTTTGGGTCAAAAGAAGGAGGAGGAGGAGGAGGAGGATTGGATTGCACAATAATAGAGGTGAACGGCAGAAAGAAAAGAGATACAACTCAGAGGCAGTCAGACTTAAATGCATAGGCGTGTGTTTATATATAGAAAATCGAGACAGTACAAACTCCAACCTCTCTGTCTCTCCGTCTCTCTCTCTCTCTCTCTGCGCATTATTTTAAGAAGGAGAAAGTCAATGGCTGCCATTGGGGCATTGCATTTCACTGTTTTCACACTTTTTTGCACTACGCAATGAGTCACTGCCAGTGGCCTCCCGTAATGCTCGCAAAGTCCACTGCCTAATCCACCGTGGTCTACCGTGTAATCGTGTATCACCTAGCTTTTGGTTTGATAATGAAATGATTTCTGCATATTCTCCTTCGTCTGCAAATCTTTATTCATTTCTCATGTGGGATTAGAAGAGAAGCTCGACAAATTGACAAATTCTGGCGGGAATAGTAATTTCTGGGGTGAAAACGTTTGTAACTTTCGTTATGTCAACTTGTATTAATTAGGGTGACTTTGTGTAAAATCAATAAACAGTTACAATATTAACAACAGATCAACAATATTTATGTTAATAGATCAATCATGTATTGTGATACATAAATGCATTTAAAATAAATAAAAATTACAAAATCTGCCACTACAACAGGGATCCACTTCAACTAACACTCATTTTCTCATCGTTTTATAATTTGGAATAAGTCCATACGATTAGACACTGCAACACAATGTCTATTTCCTCATTTTGCTTTTTACATTTGGATTCAGACACTGCGTTGCAGTGTTCATTTACTAGTTTCATTTTTGCCATCACTCACACGCCTCTGACATAGTCTTTTGTACATTTGGATTTTCTGGTTATATTTTTACTTTTGGATTCAGACGTTGCGTTGCAATGTCCGTTTTCTAGTTCTATTTTTTTCATCACTCACACGTCTCCTACACTTCACACCTTGCACGACTCCTGATTTTTGCATATAGATTTAGACATTGTAATGTAGTGTCCAATTTCTGGCTCTATTTTTTACATTTAGATTCATATATTGTAATGCAGTGTGTGTTTCTTGGTTCCGTTTTTTACATTTGGATTCAAACATTGCAATGTAGTGTCCATTTCCTGATTCTGTTTTTCCAAGTTGAGCAGACTTTTCCATGTAAACAAAGGGCGAGAGAGAGAGAGAGAGAGAGAGAGAGAGAGAGAGAGAGAGAGAGCGAGAGAATATACATTTTCTAACTATTTATAGGATTCAGACCTCTCAAGATCAATTACATAGGGATAAAACTCCAACGGCCAAAGCTCTTCCCCCGCCTCTCTTCCCCCTCAATTCCTTTTTCTCCCTCGCACAGCCACACCCCACCACTGTTAACAAACCCCAAATTCAATTGAAGGTCATATGTACTCTAAGTCTAATTTATTTTTTCGCTATCCTTTTCTCTTTTAGCTTTTTATTCAACATCTCTTTCATCTTTGATATTTCTCTCTCTATAATTCTTCCATAGTTATGAAAAAGATCTCTACAACCAACAGACATTGGTTTGGACGACCCCTCTATTTGTTGTTTCATCAACATCTATTGAGATTTTAAGGTCGAGGGACTTGCAATTGAGGGATGTGGCGATGCTAAGGTTGATTTTGGAGAGTGTAAGGTGATGGACCAACAATTGGGGGTTGTGGGTTGGGTGGGTTGTGGCAGTGTTGGTGGTGATTTTGAGATGGGGTTGAATTTAATTTGGAATTTGGGGAGTTGGTGATTCGAAGTTGAGAGCTTTGAAGTAAGGGAGAAAAGAAGAGTTGAGGGGAAAAGAGGAAGGATAAGTGATTTTGGCCGTTGGATTTGTATCAATGGATGAGATCCCATATGACATTCATAGAGAAAGAAAGAGAGAGAATGATAGAAGAGTCAAATTCTAACTATTTATAATGACTTAAAGTCTATGTGGCATTTATCATTGACTTATACCTAATTAATAAAACTATATCATTGATTAAGTCCAAAAAAAAAAATTATTGATATATGGCTTAATAGTAAAGTTTTTATTGACTTTTGGCTAAATTACCTTATTAATTAATTCATCTTTGCTTAAATTCTTTTAAAAAAATCATAACAAGACATGAGGGTGCATAAAGTGCAAAAATTATTTTGCGTTTAATAATGATAATTATCTTTTCAAGATTAATTGAGGGTACAGTCCCAATTTTTTCACATAAGCACTTGTAGTTATAATTTTGGCGCTTGAAATGCTCTAGTTACTAAGAATTCAATTAAGGATGGTATGTTAAATCAATAAACCAAGTGGGAGAAATAAGCATGTGGGAGACCAGCTAGTTTCTCTCTCTAGGGAAAAACTCTCTCTTTGCTGAAACACCAACCTAGTATTCTCCTTCGCAGCCAGCCTTAACCTTTGGCTTGGGTGTCGGTGGCAACCCACCCTTATATTCTTCTCCTTCCCTCTTTCTCATAGCCCGCTACACCCTCCCACTTTTCCTTCTCCTTCCCTCCCATCTCCTCTGCCATTTCCCTCTCTTCTTCCCCTCATTTTTCTTCTACCTTTTCCCTTTTTTCCTCCCTTCTCATCTCCTTTGACCCTTCCCTCTTACAACTTCCCACTCCCTCTTCCTACTTTCCGTCTTCCTTGAGCTTGGTCTCAATAACTCTGAGCTTGTCTCAGATTTGGGCTTCATTCCCTTTATCCGACGTTTTTCGCGTGTTTTTATTGTTTTGTGTCTGTTAAATTTTCTTCCTCCCCCTCTTTAGTCGTGATATTCCATCTCCACCCCAATCATGTGCTCGGATCTATGGGCTATAATCCAAAATTAGATATCAGATCCATTTCCCTCCCTCACTTCCCTTGCCCCAACCAGTGTGTCGAATCCCTATCGAGGCCCAGTGTTCTGTGGCCTCCGTCAAAGTATGGGTATTCTACATACCTCTCAACCTCACTTTCTATTCATATGTACTTTGGTTGTATATATTTGCAGGGGTTCGTGAAGGGGATTTGGATTTGGTGCTACTTTCTTGGTTCGGAGTTTGGCTTCCTTCGAGGATGTGGCGGCGACGATGGTGGCGATTTGGTTTATGCTACTTCATATTAGGGTTTTTTGTTGTTTGTTTTTTCTGACTACGGGTCTAAGTTTGTGTGGGTTCCCCGTTGTATCTTGGGGTGTAGCTCTTATTTTGCTTGGGCATTTTACTTTACCTACCGTTGTTTATAAGAGACTTTTTAGTCTCTCTTTCTTGTACTAGTTTTTTAATTAAAGTAATTTTGTTTGACAAAAAAAAAAAAAAAAAACTTTATGCCCTAAAGTAACCTCAATATCAACAAGTACCATTGTTCTAAAAATCTCCGTCTAGAGCTGCCTAGGCCACGCCCCGATTAATGCCTAGGTGTTTCAAAATTAAGAACGAGTGCCTAGACCTATATTGGCACTCGCCTAGACCATCTAGGCACTCACCTAGCCCGCTCAGACCCGCCTAGGCTGCAACTCACTTAGGCAGAAAATATCTAACTTTCATTTTGCATTTTTTTCAATAAATTATAAGAGACTGGTTGAATACTTAAATGAACACACATTATATGCTTGTTCCCCATGTTTTCATTATGTTCCAATTTCATAATATATATCTCATTTTATTTTGTAGTTTATGATGAAATTATATATATTTTAAGTATAAACAGACACTTATTTACACGCAATATAATAGATTTAATTAAATCCGCCTAGGCGCTAGGCCCTAACCCACCGCCCGATTAGTGCCTAACGTTTTTTAGAACCTTGAGAAGTACTGAACTAAAAAGTTGGAATTGTAGTTTTCCATGACAATTCTCTAACCAGTGCTCCAAGGTCTAAAGGTAAGAGTGTCCTTTGTTCGTTGACATGTTTAGCACTTGATATAAATTTCAATTTTTGTTTATAAGTGCAACATATTATTCTTGTGTGAGGATGTGTAAGAAATTTCTCATGTCAAAGTTTATAAAGAGTCGAGCTACTCACTATGTTATAAATTGTTTTTTTTAGTGAAATCTCAATTGCTTTCATGGTACCAAAATATATTGTCCATGTGTGAAGCCCACTAGTCACATATACTCCATGTCACTCAATTTGTGTTGTTCACGTTTTAGATTTGAAAATTCGTCACACAATGGGAGAGAAAGGAGGGTTTTTTTTTGGTGGGGGGGGGGGGGGGGGCAGAGCGAGGATGGGAAGAAACTTCCCCTATTTAATATTTTATGTGCTTATAAAGAGTTAAGTTTAAACAAATGTTGAGAACTTCAACTTGCTTCACCTTAGTTCAAATGTAAAACAAAGTATAGATTTAAAAGTCAATAATAAAAAATTTACATTACTTAAATGTATTTTTTAATTTATATATATTCATATGAATTATATCTAATCCCCTATTTAATATTTTATGTGCTTATAAAG